CCGCCCCTCTGCTCCCGGCTGGAGTAAAGTTCCTAGCGAACCGGACACAAGCCGGGGACAGACCCGCGTCCAGCCGGTCGAGGCCCAGGACCGGCCCTGGACACTCCGGCGCGGTGGGGCGTGGGGGAGACGGGCGGAGCCTGGGAGCGACCACTGGACGGACTTCCCTGAGGGGAGGCGAGCGAGCGACCAGACCGACGGGAGGGCGCGAGCCCTAGGAAATAGGAGAAGTGGCCGCCCGCCGGGCACTGGGTCCGTCCAGAGTGAGAGGACGGCGCCCCGGCTTCCCCCAGGAGACCTGCAGGGACGGGGATCAGGCACCTGCCAAGCAGGCTCTGGAAGGTAGTGAGCACAAGGAGAGACGCGAGACCGACCGGGCAGAGAATGAAGCTGAGCGCACTTGCACGAGTCAAAGAAGACGCTTGTAAAACATGAACTGTACACGTAGGGGGGGATTAGAGCAGTCCTAGGTGTTGGTAATCCCCAGATCGTCTGTGCGGTGACCCAGGGGTTGCAGGACCGACCCGTGGAAGGACAGGCATAGTGTATCCAAACCCTGGAGGGATCTCAAAAACGCGACCCCCTAAAAGGCCACTCGTGTCTTGGGAAGCTAGTCCAATGGGGAAGACAGGGCTCAACAGGTGTAGCTGCTCCTACTTCAGGCTGTTTGCTCGTCCTAGGGGGAGCCTTCACCTCCGTGAAGCCCACAAAACACAGGGCAGTGTACACTGGCAGCTGGTTGGTGGCGTCCAGAAGTGGATCCTGCCAATCTGGAAGACGCACGGTGTCCTCAGTCCTCGGGTGGGGGACCAGAAAGAATGCTGTGTGTGGAGAAGAAAGGATGCTTTCAGGCCCAAGGAGAGGTGGGGAGCACACGCAGTCAGGACTGACCGGCCCGGACCCCTCAGGGATTTGGCGAAATGAGCCCAGCTGCTTGCTAACACACGCCTGGGAGGAAATGATAGCGGTGAGGTTTCTGGTGTGATGTCACAGTTGAGAAACCTCGTAGAAGCTAAAGCTTTCAATCCAGGCGTGAAAGGTCTGGATTTTAACCTGGGGTCTCCCAGGGGGACATACTGAGGACCAGGCTGGAGAATCGGTCAGGGAGGAGGAGGGAGGGTTATTCTTGAAATGTTTTGCCAAGACATCTCAATATCAAGTTTACACCGCTGGTAAGTGTTATTTCTCTATGGAAATTTTAGGGAAAAATCACTTCAGCTATTCCAAAACATCATAAAGACATGGAAAATTACACTTTCCCAGCACTGAAAGATATCTTGTGACCTTTTGTCCAGTCAAATAACTCCAAAACAGCTGAACTTTGAAACCAGAGGCTTGGCACACGTTGTACGTACTGTCCTCAATGAGGCGTTCAGAGTTTTCGAAGTAAAAAATGGCTTGCAGCTAAATGCAAGTGATTCACTTTCAACCAGAGGCAGGGAGCACACCTTTTGCACAGAACTCCAAGTAGTCCCTGTGTGGCACAACACAGGCAAGACCCAGACAGGGGCCTCAGACAAAGTGTTCCCAGCAGCGGCGCCACAAAACACATCTTCACGGCAAACCTGCCTAATCGGAACTGTAAACGTGGCACGTCTGAGACACGGATGCACGCACTTTTCAAAGACTTAGTAGTGTTTCCGCAGGTTCTCTTTTTATTTGCTTGTAAGGATTTTTGTATAGGCAACTGTGATGCTATCCATCCTGCCACATGATTCAGGGAGTCCATGTCCCTGGTGTAAAATAAGGATGCATAAAAACACAAACGAAGCTAAATTCATTAGCAGTGTAAGGAAGCAGAGCTACTTTCTAACCCCGATAACTAGAGAAAAAGTTTGTCATCCAGTCTTACACCACACAATCCTTTCTGGATAAAGCCTGTTACGTAAATGGATGGCTCCTTCATTGTTTTTTTTTTGTTTGTTTGTTTGTTTTTTTTTTTTTTTTGACAGGCAGAGTGGACAGTGAGAGAGAGACAGAGAGAGAAAGGTCTTCCTTTGCCGTTGGTTCACCCTCCAATGGCCGCCGCTGCAGCCGGCGCACCGCGCTGATCCTGGCAGGAGCCAGGAGCCAGGTGCTTTTCCTGGTCTCCCATGGGGTGCAGGGCCCAAGCACCTGGGCCATCCTCCACTGCACTCCCTGGCCATAGCAGAGAGCTGGCCTGGAAGAGGGGCTACCGGGACAGAATCCGGTGCCCCGACCGGGACTAGAACCCGGTGTGCCGGCGCCGCAAGGTGGAGGATTAGCCTATTGAGCCACGGCGCCGGCTATCTTTCATTGTTTTTGATGACAAGACTTCCAAGAGTCAAAACAGATAAAAAGCTCTGCTTGTTCCAGGAGATCTAAATAAAAACACTGCTTCTGACTATTTCACCATGTAACAGGTGACACGACAGAAAGTAAGTCCCATGGTGCATGCTGGGCATGGTGGGAGCACCTTCTTTTTTAAACTTTTATTTAATAAATATAAATTTCCAAAGTACAGCTTTTGGGTTACAGTGGCCCCCCCCATAACCTCCCTCCCACCTGCAACCCTCCCATCTCCCGCTCCCTCTCCCATCCCATTCACATCAAGATTCATTTTCAATTATCTTTATATACAGAAGATCAATTTAGTATACATTAAGTAAAGATTTCAACAGTTTGCACCCACACAGAAACACAAAGTGTGAAGTACTGTTTGAGTACTAGTTATAGCATTAATTCACATACAGCACATTAAGGACAGAGATCCTACATGGAGTATAGTGCACAGTGACTGCTGTTGTTGATTTAACAATTGACACTCTTGTTTATGGCGTTAGTAATCACCCTAGGCTCTAGTCATGAGTTGCCAAGGCTATGGAGGCCTTTTGAGTTCGCTGACTCTGATCTTATTTAGACAAGGTCGTAGTCAAGGTGGAAGTTCTCTCCTCCCTTCAGAGAAAGATACCTCCTTCTTTGATGGCCCATTCTTTCCACTGGGATCTCATCTCATTCACAGAGATCTTTCATTTAGTTTTTTTTTGTTTTTTTTTGTTTTTTTTTTTTTTTTTGGCCAGGGTGTCTTGGCTTTCCATGCCTGAAATACTCTCATGGGCTTGTTAGCCGGATCCAAATGTCTTAAGAGCTGATTCTGAGGCCAGAGTGCTATTTAGGACATCTGCCATTCTATGAGTCTGCTGTGTATCCCACTTCCTATGTTGGATCATTCTCTCCTTTATAATTCTATCAGTTAGTATTAGCAGACACTAGTATTGTTAATGTGATCCCTTTGACTCTTATGATCAATTATGAACCGAAACTGATCACTTTAACTAGTGAGATGGCATTGGTACATGCCACCTTGATGGGATTGAATTGGAATCTCCTGGCACATTTCTGTCTCTACCATTTGGGGCAAGTCTGATTGAGCATGTCCCAAACTGTACATCTCCTCCCTCTCTTATTCCCACTCTTATATTTAACAGGGATCACTTTTCAGTTAAATTTAAACACCTAAGAATAATTGTGTGTTAATTAAAGAGTTCAACCAATAGTATTAAGTAGAACAAAAAAAATACTAAAAGGGATAAAGCATTAAGTTGTTCCTCGACAGTCAGGACAAGGGCAGATCAAGTCATTGTTTCTCATAGTGTCCATTTCACTTCTACAGGTTTCCATTTTGGTGCTCGGTTAGTTGTCACCAATCAGGGAGAACATATGATATTTGTCCCTTTGGGACTGGCTTATTTCACTCAGCATGATGTTTTCCAGATTCCTCCATTTTGCTGCAAATGACCGGATTTCATTGTTTTTTACTGCTGTATAGTATTCTATAGAGTACATATCCCATAATTTCTTTATCCAGTCTACTGTTGATGGGCATTTAGGTTGATTCCAGGTCTTAGCTATTGTGAATTGAGCTGCAATAAACATTAAGGTGCAGACAGCTCTTTTATTTGCCAATTTAATTTCCTTTGGGTAAATTCCAAGGAGTGGGATGGCTGGGTTGTATGGTAGGGTTATATTCAGGTATGGTGGGAGCACCTTAAAAGTGCTTGTTCCTTGTGCTCTAGGTAATTACAGTCCAATTCCTGTAGGTGGTTGAGGGGGACAAGAGCAAGGAAAGCTCAGAACTAAAACCATGGTAACTTTGTCAGGAGACCCAAAATGCAGTTGGTCTTCCAGCCACCTTTAGAAACAAAATCAAGAAAAGATTATCTGTAAATGTGTGACAGATAACAGTCCATGCATATAATAAAATAGGAAAAGGTGCTTATATATTTGAGACAGGTAGCAGTCAATACAAACAATAAAACAGGCAAACATCCGTATAAAAAGTGAGTAGGAGGTTAACACCAGAGGAGAGGTAAGAACACGAATGTGCAGGTCTCACAGTGTAATACACAATTATAAGAGTTAAACCATCAATTTGGCTTAGAGCTTTCTGAGAGCCAAAGCAAAACAGAACCAAAAGCAGTAAATATAATCAGTTGCTTAACTTTCATTGCCACTGAGGAAAAATGTACAGATCCTTCCATGGGGCGAAGCTTTTCAGGATCATTTGCAAAAAAAAAAAAAAAAAAAAAAAGTGTCTGGGGACCGGCATGGTGGTACAGCAGGGTTTAGCAGATGTTTGTGATACTGGCATCCCATATTGGAGTTCTGGGTCAAGTTCTGGCTGTTCCACTTTCAGTGCAGTTTCCTGACGATGGGCCTGGGAAGGCAGATGGAGTTCCTGACTTCTGATTTCACCCTGGACCAGTCCTGGCGACTGCTGCCATTTGGGGAGTGAACCAAATGGCAGATGAAAGATATTCCCTGCCTTACTCCCCCGGCTTTGTTGCTCTGCCTTTCAAATAAATGAATAAAAAAATTAAAAAGTTTGCCTGTGCTACACAGAACAGTTAATGTACAGGGAAGCACTCTACATTAACCTAGCACTATTAGGTTTTACAACTAAAAGGTTTCTTTTAGTGACCATCCATGGAACTCGAGGGCATAATATAAGCATTTGACCCCCTGGAAGCAGCTTTTAGTAGAGCGACTGTAATATATAAATATTCAGCTTCCCACGGATTCCTTCTAACCCAGTGGAAAATCATGAACTAGCTAAAGTGAGCTTCTTGATCTCAAATACCAGTACTAGTCAGACAAACGTAAGTGAGTGAAGGAGGCTCGTGCAGAAAAAGAGGGAGCAACAGCAAACTTGGAGACGGGGCTTCTGCCTAAATGGGGCAGCCATTACTTAGGTTCAGCACGGACTCTCACCCTGTCAGCATAGTCCCAGTGCTTCCGGATATCTGAGTTTTCCAAGAGCAACTGGAAAGATGGATTTTTATGAGAAATTTCCCGGTTTTTGAAACCTGCCAGCTAATTTGCTACTTTATCTTTTCTTCCTCTTCTTCCTTCTCCCTCTGCTGGGACAGAGCTCCAATCCGTTGGTTCCCTCCCCAGATGCTTGTAATGGCCAGGGCTGGGCCTGAGCCTGCAATACAATGCAGATCATGTGGGAAGGAGGAGCCTGGTTACTCACTGTCATCATTGTGCTTTCCAGAGTCCTGGAGGCAGGAATCAAACCCAGGTACCCCCATGTGGGATGAGGGCATGCAAACTGGCATCTTAACTGCTAGGCCAAATGCCTGACCCCCAAAACTTGTCAACTACTTTTTTTTAAAGGATTGATGGATTTATTTGAAAGGCAGAGAGATAGAGAAATAGAGAGAGAATCTTCCATCTGCTGGCTCACTCCCCAGTGGCCACAATGGCCAGGGTTGAGCCAGGTCAAAGCCAGGAGCCAGGAGCTTCCTCCAGGTCTCCCATGTGGGTGCAGAGGCCCAAGGCCTTGAGCCATCCTCCACTGCCCTCCAGGCACATCAGCAGGGAGCTGAACTGGAAGTGAGGAAGATGGGACTTGAACTGGCACCCATATAGGATGCCAGTACTGCAGGTGGCAGTTTTACCCACTATACCACAGTGCCAGCCCCATCAGCTAATTTTTTTTCAAATTCAAGTACAATGTAAATCAAATCATGTTAAGTAAGTCATGATCAGTATATGAGCTTCCAATTTGCAAACTCTGACCTAGGACATCCTCATAATAATACCTCTCAACATTACTTTGGATAAGAGAATATGATGCCAACTATTGGGCCTTGCATCAAGCCAAATTACTTACATTTTTCTAATTACGTCCACTCTTCCTGTGTGGTACTCTATTAAATATTTTTTTGTTGGAATGAATGGCTACTCTCTGAGAAAGGTAATTGATTATGATAAGCTCTGCCTAAATAAAGATTGCCAACAGGAGATGGTCTGTGTAATGATTACAAAGACAGAGAGAGAGAGAGAGAGAAAGAGAAGCACAGATCAAAACAGAGAGATCTACATGGTTCTATGACTTAGTTGGTTAAAGTGCCTGTCAGGGCTGTCATTGTGTTGTAGTGGGTGAAGACCCTGCCTGTAATACCAGCATCCCATATAGGTGCCAGTTCAAGTCCCAGCTGCTCCACTTTTGATCCAGCTCCCTGCTAATGTGCCTGGGAAAGCAGTAGAAGATAGCTCAATTCTTGGGCCCTTGCCATCTACATGAGAGGTCATTGGGGGTGAGCCAGCAGATGGAAGATTCTCTCTCTATTCCTCTATCTCTCTGCCTTTCAAATAAATCCATAAATCCTTTAAAAAAAAGTAGTTGACAAGTTTTGGGGGTCAGGCATTTGGCCTAGCAGTTAAGGTGCCAGTTAGCATGCCCTCCTCCCACATGGGGGTACCTGGGTTTGATTCCTGAGAGATGAAACTCCTGGCTCCTGATTTTGGCCTGGCCCAACCCTGGCCATTGTGACCACTTGGGCGGTGAACCAGTAGATGGAAGACCTCTCTCTGCCTCTCCCTCTCTCTCTGTAACTCTACCTCTCAAATAAACAAACAACTCTTTTGAAAAAGTAAAGTGCCTATCTCAACTAAAGAGAAAAGTCTCTCAATTTGCTCTATAGGAGAATACAGACAGGAGCATTTGTTCACCATAAGTCAGAGCATCCTTAAATAAAATGGATGTATCATGCTTACACACCTGGCTAAGAAGACTGGATTTCCTCGATTAGATAGGACACAGGGAATGCATGCATGAAGCATCATATAAGCTTTATGACTGCCAAAATGATTTTTTAATAAAAAATTTAGAAAAGAAGACTGGGTTGGGTTTCCCAACTTACCTATTTTAAATTTAAGGGGCACCTTCAAATTCTTTTTAAATTTTTATTTATTTGAGATAGGTCTGGGAAAAGAGGGAAAGAGAGAGATAACCCTCCCATCTGCTGGTTCACTCCTCAAATGCTATAATGGTCAGAACTGAACCAGGCCCAAACTGGGAGCTGGAAATTCAGTTCAGGCCCTCCACATGGGAGGCAGGGACCCAGGTACATGAGCTGCTGCCTCCCAGGGTGTGCATTAGCAGGAAGCTGGAGCTGCAGCCACACAAGGAATCTAGGCATGTTACCTAAGGATGCAGGCATCTTAACCAGTATCTTAACTGCTGCACTAAATGCCTACCCCCAGAATTTTTAATAACTGCACCCTTTCCCACATATTTAGGCTGACATTTAATTTTTTCTCTATAAAAGTTCAAATACTCAATTGCAAAGGATATTCTTTCTATTTTTTTTTAAATTATTCTATTTATTTGGAAGACAGGCCGGCGCCGCGGCTCACTAGGCTAATCCTCCGCCTTGCAGCACCGGCACACTGGGTTCTAGTCCCGGTCGGGGCTTCGGATTCTGTCCCAGTTGCCCCTCTTCCAGGCCAGCTCTCTGCTGTGGCCAGGGAGTGCAGTGGAGGATGGCCCAAGTGCTTGGGCCCTGCACCCCATGGGAGACCAGGAGAAGCACCTGGCTCTTGCCATCGGATCAGCGCGGTGCGCCGGCCGCAGCGCGCCGGCCGTGGCGGCCATTGGAGGGTGAACCAACAGCAAAAGGAAGACCTTTCTGTCTCTCTCTCTCACTGTCCACTCTGCCTGTCAAAAAAAAAAAAAAAGAGAGAGAGAGAGAATTACAAGGAGAAGTAGAGACAAAGAGAGAGAGATTTCGTCCTCTGGCTCACTCCCCAAATGGCTGCAACAGCTGGAGCTAAGCCAATCCAAAGCCAGGAGCCAGGAGCTTCTTCTGGGTCTCCCACATGGATGCAGGGACCCAAGCACTTGGAATGTCCTCGGCTGTTCTCCCAGGCCATAGCAGAGAGCCGGATGGGAAGTGGAGCAACTAAGACTGGAACCTGCACCCATATGGGATGCCTGCACTGAGGTTGTTAGCTTTACCTGCTATACCACAGCACCCGCCTCTGTACTTTCTAACTTATTATGATGGCCAATTAAAATAAAACCATTATATAACACATCGACATGTATGCAATGGAATGTAAATATAGCAATTTTATATTCCATCATTCATTTTAAAAATACATAAACTGGTTTCTTTAACAGTAGGAAACTTTACATGATTCCTTTTTCTCCTTGAGCTCATATTCCCATTCTGTTTTCTCCAAAGAAGTGCAATATGCCTTATGCTTAGAAGTCTTTTGTTGATACTTCACTTTCTCTGTAACAAAAATCTCTATAAATTGATGGTAAGGATTAATAATTTTCCTCCAGATTGTTAGCACAATTATTAATTGATAACTGATCAAAGCAACATACATGTATTACAACTGAAAGCTTATTAAATAAACATTACATTGAAATCAATCAATTGAAAAGATTAATAAGATCTTTAAAAATTAATTCATGTACCTGTGGGTGAATATGACAATACTAGAATGAGAGTTTAACATCAAGTCTATATTATTCTTCAGTTGAATAGAAGTAAACTTTGAGAAACCACATTCATACAGTAATTAGATAGGAATGAAAGGGCTGTGTTACTAAACCATCACTTAACATTTTGATCTATTTAGAAATGTATTATTATATTCTATTACACATATTAATGATCTATATGCCAATATTTTAATTATATCCCTTCACTTATGTTGAAAGCAAAGAATTAGAAGCTACCTGACTTGCAAAAGGATTTGTTACTGAAATCTTTTTTTTTAAAGATTTATTTATTTTGTTTGAAAGGAGTTACACAGAGAGAGGATGAGAGGCACAGAGAGGAGGGGGGGAGAGAGAGAAAGAGAGAGAGAGGTCTTCAATCCACTGGTTCACTCCCCAGTTGGCCGCACTGGCCAGAGCTGAGCCAATCAGAAGCCGGGAACCAGGAGCTTCCTCTGGGTCTTCCCACGTGAGTACAGGGGCCCAATGACTTGGGCCATCTTCTACTGCTTTCCCAGGCCACAGCATAGAGCTGGATCAGAAGTGGAGCAGCCGGGACTCGAACCAGTGCTCATATGGGAGGCCGATACTGCAGGTGGTGGCTTTACCTACTATGCCACAGTGCTGACCTCCAATTATTGAAATCTTATGGTCTTTCAGTATAATTCACCTCAATTTTGATGAAGATTACTAAAAACAACTTTGCCAAGACTTATCAACCAAGTGTTTAGTTGTACTTGTTAGTTTTTTTTTTTTCCTTAGAGGCAACTATTTAAGTCAACATACTCTGAAAAGGGATATAAGTGGAAATATTCTCAATTTCAATATTCTTTTGACTAAACATATTTTTAAGTAAAATGCTTATATCTTATAACACATTTTAAATATATCTTTGTCAAAATGTTGGAACCATAGATTTAGCCTTTTCCATTTGTGGAAAATGTTTGCCACATAACCTAGCTAGCAAAGCCTTTTCTCTTTGTCAAACCAAACTGCCAACTCGAACTGGCATGCTTTTAGGAAAGAGTCCCATTTCATTATTTTATTTCTAATGAGTATGTTAATTCTTGTTTTGATATATATTTGCTCATTTTATTTATTTGAAAGGGAGAGAGGCAGATAGACAGACAGAGTCTCCCGTCCACTTGTTCACTCCCCAAATGCCTACAACAGACAGGGCTGGGCCAAACTGAAGCCAAGAGCCCGGAATCCAATCTGGATCTCCCACATGGGTGGCAGGGATCCAAGTACTTGAGCCATCACTGCCGCCTCCCATGATGTGCGCTATTAGCAGAAAGCTGGAATGGGGTGTGGAACCAGGACTCGCACCCACGTGCTCTGATACTGGACAAGGGCATCCCAAACAGCATCTTACCACTGTGCCAAGTGCCCACCCCTGAGGTATATTTAAAATCACTTAGAAATAAATGACAAAACATGTGTTATTAGATAGATCATTAAAGGAGCAAGTACATTATAAAGCAAAAACAACCAAGATGCAGTTCCTCATTATTTAATTATAATTCAGTGTAACATGTACCTAAAACTGATATTATCTGTCTTGCAAGGAATAAACGTTTTCTCTAATAAACATGTGTTGTGGACTGAATGTGTTCTCCCCAAATTTGTATGTTGAAGCCGTAACTTCAACATAATCGTAATCATGTGGCTGTATTTGGAAATAGGACCTCTAAGGAAGTAGTAATTAACGTTAAATGAGGTCATAGGTGGGGCCCTGGTGTGATGGATTAGTGTTCTTATAAGAAGAGATCTTTCTCCCTCTTGGGTGCTTGCTTGTTCTCTCATGCGCTTTTCTCCCTCCCTCTGTGCATGTGTGTACAAAGGAAAGACCACGTGAGTGCATACAGAAGGCATCCGTTTGCAGCCAGGAAGAGAGCCCTCACCAGAAGCTGGCCCTGCCAAAACTTGATCTTGAACTTCCCAGCTCCTGGAACTCTGAGAAAATAAATTACTGTTTAAGTCACTTGGCCCGTATTTTGTTGTTAGGGCAGTCCAAACAGACTCCAACAACACATGTGTTCAAACTTTTCTTTCTTTTTCTTTAAATATCTTATTTATTTATTTGAGAGGTAGAGTTTGAGAGAGAGAGAGAGAGAGAGAGGTTTTCCATCCGCTGGGTCACTCCCCAAATGGTCACAACCGCTGGAGCTGGGCTCATCTGGAGCCAGCAGCCAGGAGCTTCTTCCAGGTCTCCCATGTGGGTGCAGGGGCCCAAGGACTTGAGCCATCTTCTACTGCTTTCCCAGGCCACAGCAGAGAGCTGGATTGGAAGAGGAGCAGCCGGGACACAAGCCAGCGCCCAAGTGGGAAGTAGATGCCACAGGCGGAGGCTTAGGCTACTATGCCACCACAGCGCCGTCCCCTCAAGCTTTTCTTATATTTGATGATAATGAACAGTGTAGCAATATATGCTGCGAAGAAGCAGTCAGTCCAGGAACTAACCTATCATTTCGTTGTTACTAGGAAGTGGAAATGTAATGTGAAATCACATAAGGATTTTGTTGGAAGCCTTTACCTAGTGCTCCTGGAAAGAAAGCCACTGAAAACACCTCAATTTCTTCTCAAAATCATGGCCTACAGACAAGTATTAAGACTAATTGAAAACACCAGCTTAAACTTCATTTGTATTTAGCAGTTTCCCCCAATGCTGGCTTCTTCATTTTGCTCCTTTGAGATCCTCTTCAAGAGCAATGCATTTTTTTAAAAGATTTATTTATTTATTTGAAAGGTAGAACTACAGAAAGGCAGAGGCAGAGAGAAAGAGAGAGTGAGCGAGCAGAGTCAGTCTCCCATCTGCTGGTTCACTCCCCAAATGGCCGCAACTTTGGAGCTAGGCTGATCCAAAGTCAGGAGCCAGGAGTTTCTTCCGGGTCTCCCACGTGGGTGCAAGGGCCCAAAGACTTGGACCACCTCCTACCACTTCCCTAGGCCATAGAAGAGAGCTGGATCGGCAGTGGAGCAGCTGTGTCTTGAACTGGTGCCCATACGGGATGCCGGAACTGCAAGTGGCAGCTTTAACCACTATGCCACAGTGCCAGTCCCGAGCAATGCATTCTTAGATGAGGGTTGAAAGAGAAGAAATTCAATGATGTGACCCTCCCACAAGGATTCAACCAATCTCAGATCCACAGTGTTCTTTTTTATATAAAAATTGAATCTGTACTAAACAAGTAAAGACTTTTCTTGTTATGATTCCCTAAAATAATGCAGCATTAACAATGATTCCTATAGCATTTACAATGTATTAGGTGTGTTAAATAATCTGTAGAAGACTTAAAGTATACTAGAGGATTGTATAAATTATATGCAAGTATTGGGGGTCAATGGGGTGCAGGGAGTTAAAGTCACAGCTTGTGATGCTGGCGTCCCATATTAACGTGCAGGTTTGAGTCCTGGCTGCCCCACCTCCAATCCAGCTTCCGGCTAACATGCTTAGGAAAGCAGCAGAATATGGTCCAAGTACTGGGCTCCTGTCACCCTTCTGGGAGATCCGATGGAGTTCCTGGCTCCTGGCTTTGGCCTGGCCCAGCCCCAGCTGTTGCAGGCATTTGTCCAGTCTCAGAGGTTATTCCAGTACTTAGGACTTTCAGTTTAGCACTTTTTTCCTCAAAAGAGATTGCTTGATCTCTCTGTCACTCTGACTTTAAAACAGATAAAATACAAATGAAATGCCATCTCTAAAGCTTATTATACTTCCTTTATCTTAATGTATATTTAAAAATACATATTGTGAGGATTTCTTCTTATATCTTATTAACACTAATTATATATATATATATATATATATATATATATATATAAAGATAGGCCAAAAAGTCTGAGCAAAACAACCATAAGTACCAACAATGGCTTCGTGATTCCAAGTTGGACTGTATCAGAATAGAAGCTAGAGAGAGTTTTATTTTTAGACAGCTTAACTTGGGGCCAGCATGGTGGTGTAGTGGGTAATACCACTTCCTGGGAGGCCAGCATCCTATATGGGTGCCAGCTAGTGTCCTGGCTGCTCCACTTCCAATTTGGCTCCCCCGATGAAGCTCCTGGCTCCTGGCTTTGGCTTAGCGTGGGCTTGGCCACTGCATTCATCTGGGGAATGAATCAGTATATAGACATTTTCTCTTTCTCTTTGTAACTCTACCTTTCAAATACATAAATAAATATTTTCTTAAAAAAATAAAAAGCTTCACAATTTAAGAATTTTGACACAAAGAAACTGGGGGCAAACAGCTTAGAGAACTGAGTTTAAGATGGGACGCAGGAGCTAGCACTGTGGCATAGCAGGTAAAGCCGCCACTTGCAGTGCTGGCATATCCCATACGGGTGCTAGTTTGAATTCTAGCTGCTCCACTTCTGATGCAGCTTTCTGCTGTGGTCTGGGAAAGCAGTAGAAGATGGTCCAAGTCCTTGGGCCTCTGCACCTGCATGGGAGACCCGGAAGAAGCTCCTGGCTCCTGGCTTCAGATTGGCACAACTCTAGCTTTTGCATCCATCTGGGAATGAACCAGCAGATGGAAGACTCTCTCTCTCTCTCTCTCTCTCTCTCTCTGCCTCTCCATAACTCTACCTTTCAAATAAATAAATGAATCTTAAAAAAAAAAAAAGATGGGATGCATAAAGCAAGTACAGAGGGGCTTCTCCCCAGGAAGGAGCATTAGTACCTCCCAAGGCAAAGAGTACAACAGCAAGACTTACTTTCTGCTTATGTGAATGATTGCGAGGAAAGACTGCAGGACCTGAGGTGTGCCAGTGACGGCTCTCCATTTCACTCCATGAACGCACTCTGGGCTTACCTGGCTGTGGGAGGCATGCCTCTTCTGCACTGGTGGCTGGCCTCCCACAGCGTGGCCATCTTGCTGCACTGAGTGTAATTCTGGTATGTATACATGCATTCATACATATGGATACATATGGGTACACACATATGTGTACAGCAGGGTCTGTAAGTACAAGCCAGCTCTTTCATCTGGTGTTCAACTCATAAACTAAGGGAAAATTGGCTGCACTGGACTTGCAGTTGTGGTATATATATATATATATATATATATATATATCCAAGAAAGTATGTGGTACTTTTTAAAGGCTTCCTAATGTTTAATTTCTTTTAAAATTAGTGTTGCAAAATATTTCAGGAATATCTAAAAAGTGTGGCTTCAATTTAAATAGGTTTTTTTTTCTTCATTTGGTTTGCACAAACTAAATGTAAATGAAAGGATGTGATTCCATGGTATAAGCACTTACTGAGTATGTAGGGAGTGCATAGTATTTCATATCTCCTGACCACCTAGGGGGGTGGTACTGTAAGGAAATGAACACATACTTACTTGTAAATGATCAAACTGAATCTGGACTCATGTCTGCTTGACTTTAAAGTCTGGGCACTTCTCTTCATATCATAATATTAATGACTAAACCAGGAACCATTAAAAAACAAAAAGACAGCGTGTAAGTGATAATTATGAATGGAGACTAAGCAATCCATTTGGGAAAAGAAAACATTCTAAGCAAAGGTCCTAAGTTTTAGAATAACTTCTGAAACTGGCCAAAAGAAAAAACATGTTTCAGATTGACTTCATTGTAAAAGTAATTCGTAGACAGAAAGTCATCAGGGCCACCCAGCTCTGCTGTGATCTGGAAATAGGTTGGATGTGTCTTGCTGCCCAATGGGGTGGAAGCTTTATGGGGCAGGGCTCAGTGGGAGAGGATTAGGTCTTGGGAGGACCATTCCCAGAAGGGATTAGTGCTGGTCTTGCCGAGTGAGTTGGTTCTCAGTAGAGTATGTTGTCGTAAGGTGAGGCATTCCATGTGCTTGGCCTCTTCTGCACTTGCCCATTTCCTTACCTGCTTCTCATCCATGTCATGACCCAGCCAAGGGGCCTCATCAGAGACCAAACCCATGGAGGTACCCAATCACGGTTATTCAGTTTCTAAAACTGTAAGCTAAACAAACCTCTTCTCTTTATGAAGTAGCCAGTATTTTTTAGAGCAACAGAGAACGGGCTACTGTCAGTACTTTAAAGGTGATAGGCCAAGAAAGCAGAGACCACATCAGTTTCAGTCCCTCCTTGCAAATATTTGTCCCAGCGCTGTGCTCAAGACATACTTGTTGAATGAATGAATTGGGATCTAGTTCCACTGCAGTGACTTCCTTGGAGAGAAACCACCCAAGATGTCCATATCGATGTTGATAGAAAATGTACCCCAATGCTTCATTAGGTAGAGTGTTAGAGAGGAGCAATCATTCATTTACTGATCCATTCACAGATCATTTGCCTCCCTGGCTTTGGCTGGAGTAGGCCTGTCCATGCAACTCATGGACCAGCTAACCCAGCCTTGGTCACCAGCCCTCTGCCTTCAGCATGCAGTGAGGCAGCCCTGGCGCTCACCTGCTCTCACCTGGTGTCCTCCCTTCTCCCTCCTCTGCCTCAAGGCCCTAATTCCCCCTTGAGATTGTCTCTCAGAGCAATGCCCTGCAGGGCCCCCTTCTTCATCTGACTCACTGGGATGTGTTTCTTTGGCTTTCACGCTCAGCATTTTCTCCAGGACATCATTTGGTGCCTTCAGACATCGCTACTCATTCACGGTAGCCTGGTCCACACAAGCCCTGGGCTGTGCACATCAGATCAACTTGACCTTTCCTTCTTGGGGAGGAGACTTACCCAGCTCAGGGTGCTGGGCTCTGCAAGGGGATACGTTACAAATCTGTCCTGCACAACTGCTCTCTTCACTTACCAACATCTATGAAATAGTAGACCCCCAGCCCTCATGCCATACCTTGCACGGAGTGGGTTTCTTTGCCAAATGACAATGTCAATGTTTATTCAAGAACAAGACCATCCTTTGGGACACCCTCTCTACATAGAAGGAATTTTAGGAACTCCGTGTATCAGAGACATCACAGTTTCAAAAGTTAGAAGTCCAAGGTCAAGGTATTCGCATGTTTGATTTCCTCTCTCTTCAGCTTGCCACGTTTGTGCTTCCTCACATGATTTTTTCTGTGTGTACATCTTCAGCATCTCTTTGTGCATCCTAATTTCCTCTTATAAGGGCACAGTCACATTGGATTAGGACCTCCCTTAAAGACTTTGTATTAATATGATCACAACTTTCAAAAGCCCATCTCCAAATACCATCACATTCTAAGGTATCTGGGGTTAGGGCTTTAAGCATCTGAATTTGGGAAGGACATAATTCACTCCCCAACGTGTGCCACTGGGTTCCTCCCACTCCACCTGCCTCTCGTAGGCAGAGCCTCCCCCTGGGGTGACCAGCGGGATGCAGGCAGATCTGGAGTTCAGCTTCTTGTGCCTGCTTTGGACTCACAGCATCTGGCTCCCCGAGCGACTGTCTAAAGGCACTGGGCTGTCTAAGCCAGAGATTTGGACATACTTACTCTTGATGAGGCAAACCCTGATGAAGGGGGAAAGGCAGGTGGTTAAATTCCTTGGGTGGATGACCCTGTTTCTCCACACAGGTGCTGTTTCTGCACACAGCCTGTCCTGAGAGGTGCAGAGAGGTGGAGCAGATGTGCCTGCTGAGAAAGCTGCCTGGGGCTTGGTCATGGTGCAGTGGCCAGCACGGTCAGTGTACCACCCTGCAGGGACTCCCATCTACACTCTTGCCCTTTCCTTCACTCTTGCTGCCATGGCTTTGCACCTCCCGAAGACTCCCCGGTACAACGGCACTACTTCAGTCTTTCTTGATTTCCCAGGGACTGCAGGCTAGAATACTGGTGGACTTACCTGCTGGAAAATGAAACTGAAAACACAAGCCCGGGTAATTAAAGGCCAACAGTGACCAGGGATCTTTTGGACTAACTCTGGGTTGGATATCATTTTATCAGTGAGATCTTCTGCATCCAGTATGTTGAGTTCAGAGGAAACATCATCACTCTTTATGAAACAGAGGATTAGAGAATGTTTGTCTAGCTGGCAAAACAGAAATCATTCTAAGAATTAAAACAAAGGAAATTGGCCTGCGAATTGGTTATACGGGTCATGCAAGAGCCGAAACACCGAACAGAAGGCTGTGAAGCAATCCAGAGGCTCACAGAAGCAGAACATTGATGCCACTCCTGAGCTGGAGGGACAAAGGAGGAGTGAGTGTCACTAGGGTCAGAGGCCAGAGCCTCTGGGGGAAGCTGGAACCACAGTGTGTCACACTAGGTGGAGCTGAAGAAGTGGGAGCTGTACCTGGAGACACAGACACACAGCCTGACTTCTCTCTTCCTCCCTCTGCTTTCTTCTTGGTGCCTCTTATTGCTGGAACCCAGGAAGAAGCTAGTGGATCCTGGAGCCTGAGAAATACAGCCTCTGGGATTTGTTCCTCTCTGTTCAGAGGAAGGAGAGGAAATGAAATTAATGGCACAGGCTCAGAAATGGACAGTTCCAGAAAATGAGATTATGTTAACTTGGAAAAATTGTTACATGGCCAGTAACACTATGGGCCAGGGAGATATACAGTAGAAGGAATATATAACAGAGTAACAGCATAATAGGCATTGGAATAAAACAAATCTGGGGTCAGATGGAAGAGTCCCCTGTTGATTGGCCATGTCACCGCAGGTAAGTCATTCAATTTAAATGAACTTTAGTTTCCTCCTCTCAATCTGTGTGTAAAGATGACATGAGATCACTTATGTAGCATGCCTCTCATCTTACCTGGCACATTAGAAATGGTGAAAGAAAGGCAATTCTTCTAACAACGAGGTGGAGCTCCGTGCCTCATTGACTAGGTCTGAATTCTTCCAAAAACAAAGATTTGGATGAAGTCATTTATTTGGAAGATATTGCACTGCAAAAGATGAGACGAAGAAGGGAGGAAGTCAATAAAGGGTGCATTAGTGAGAGGTTGCCAGCAGGGTGGGTCCCACCAAGGACCCTCTTAGAAATGGTGTGTAACGCCTGAAACCTGTGCAGTACTGTAGAGGGCCAAGGAAACTGTAGTTTCGTCCACCAATTCCCACCCTACCCCAGCATTAACTCCTTGACACTTTATTTTCCAAGATTTAATTATTAATTTAATTGTATATATTTATGGGGTACAATGGGATAATTCAATACATGTATGCAATGTATAAGAATCAAATCATGTTAGCTAGCATTGTCATCTTCTTAAACACTTAAAATTTTTTGATCAGCACTTAAGTATACATATTTATGGGTACAGTGTGATATTTCAACAAATGCATACAAATTAGGATAATTAACATTTCCATCTTCCTATCATTATTTTATAATTGGAGTCTTTGAACTCTTCTCTCCTATTAATTCGTAAAATATATACTTGTTATTGTGAACTACAGTGTCCCCCACGCCATGCGATATTAAGTTGAATTTATTCTTTCTACCTTACTCCTTCCTCTACCTCTCCCCACTCTTCCCAGCCTCCAATAGAATCACTATTCTCCATTCAGACTTATCATTTTTTAAAAAAAAGAACTAATTTTCTTTTTTAAAAAAAGATTATTTTATTTATTCGCAAGGCAGAGTTACAGAGAGAAAGAGAGGGAGAAAAGAGAGAATGATCTTCCACCTGCTGGTTCACTCCCCAAGTGTCTGAAACAGCGAGGGCTGGGCCAGGCTGAAGTCAGCAGCCAGGAGCTTCACCCAGGTCAAAACACCTGGGACTTCTCCCGCTGCTTCCCCTGGAGCACCAGCAGGGAGCTAGATTGGAAGTGGAGCAGCTGGGATGTGAACTGGTGCCTCTATGGTATGCCAGTGTCGCAGACGGCAGCCTAACCCAGCACATCACAACACTGGCCCCACTTTTGATACATTTTGAGTTGACCTCTGTGTAGAGTAAAATATAGAAGCCAAGGTTAAAGCTCTTTTTCTGGGCTTCTAACCCACCCTTCATGAAGACTGAGCTACTGCATCGCCCAGAGGACACCTTCAGGCAGAGATGAAGAACCAGGTGCTGCCTGCAGGGGACTCGAGTAGACCGAGGAATGCGAATCAATCGCAGTCCCTGCTGCCGGTGTGTGGCTGAAGATCTGGGAGCCAAGCGAGCCACCGTCCAGCCAGAGATCAGCACAGCTGTTTCCATATTTCCTTAGGCCAGTGCTTTTCAATATCCCCAGTTAGAAACTTACAGTTTTTACATTGTGACCCAGTACACGTGGGTGAGTGTTTGTATATGTACACATAGATGCTGAGACAGTAGTTTTATAAAACAATACTTTCCCTTTCTAATTAGCATATATTCTGTTAGTTTTCTATTCTGTTAGTTTTTTTTTAAAGGTTGAAGTTCCCAAAATTGATTTTATGACCCCCCCCAAAGACCTTAGTTCATGATCAGAGCTGCTCCAAGTGTGGACTGCGGCAGCGACAAGTCATGGAGCTTGAGCCAGAAAGTAAATAAACTATGTCACCATGCACTGGAGTCATTAAGCACGAATCTTAGCTGACATTTTTGCACAGCAAAACATTCTCAATAAAGGAATCAGTGAGTAGACTGAGACTGCAATATCAGCCCCTTAGGGTCAGAGACTGATAACAGTCTGTGGGACCACACTTTGAGTAACACTACCCTAGACCATGCTCAAACAGCATGTTAAAAATTATCGGAAGAGTGTGACAGGTGTGACGATGCAGGAAGTTAAGTTGCGCTTGGGACACCTCATCCCATGTCAGACTGTCTCAGATGGAGTCTTGCCTCTTCCATTCCAGCTTCCTGCTAATGCCCCTGGGAGGCAGCAGATACAAGAACTCCAGAACTCAAGGACTTGAGTTCTCAACACACATTTGGGAGACCTGGGTGGAGTACCTGGCTCCTGGTTTCAACATAGTCCAGCCCTGGCTGTAGCAGGCATTTGAAGAGTGAAGAAGCAGATAGAAGATATTTCTCTCTCTTTCTCTCTCTCTCTCTCTCTCTCTGCCTTTCAAGTAAATGAATGAATTAAATGAAATAAATAAAACATTTAAAAATGGACTGAGGGGGTAAAACAGAATTTTTAAAAGATTTATGCATTTATTTATTTGAAAGGCAGAGTTACAAAGAGGCAGAGGCAGAGAGAGAGAGAGACAGACAGAGAGAGAGAGAGGTGTTCTATCCACTGCCTCACTCCCCAAATGGCCACAATGGCTGGAGCTGGGTGGATCCAAAGCTAGGAGCCAGTAGCTCCCTCTAGATCTCCCACATGGGTACAAGGGCCCTAGGACTTGGGCCACCTTCTACAGCATTCCCAGGCCATAGCAGAGAGCTATATCAGAAGTAGAGCAGCTGGGACTTGAACTGGAACCCTTTTGGGATGCTGCCACTGCAGGTGGCAGCTTTACCTGCTAAGCCACAGCACTAGCTCCAAACAATAATTTTTTTTAACACTTGTTAAAAGATGCCTATCCCTCTACAAGTCTTTTTTAGTAAGAGTGTTAAAGGTCTCATAGGGATATCCCTGATTAAGTTCTAAAAACCACATTAGGTGCCAATGGCAGAAGCAAGGCTGGAGACCACTGTCCACCCCCTCAGTCAAGAGTGACCCTTGGCCCATACTCCCACCTCTGCACACTCTTGCTGCAGCCCAGCATGTTGGGACACAAGATTCGGGTTCCACTTTTGTGGACCAAGAAGGGAAGGGAAACTCAGTCTCACACTGCAAACAGATTCTCCATGTTGGAGGTGGGGCCTTTGTGTGGCCATCAGATCATACAGTGGGTGCACATGAATGGGATTCAGACACATAAAAGCTCCCTCACCCCTTCCTCCATTGAGGATACAGGAGAAGGCAGCCATCTGCAAACCAGAAGACATGGAATCTGCTGGCACCTTGAGCTGAGACTTCCCAGCTTCTGGAACTGTGAGGAATGAATGTTTGTTGTTGTTTTTAACATTGATCCATTTGCTTGAAAGGCAGCATTACAGACAGAGAGGGAGAGACAATGAAAGAGATCTTCTGTCCAACTGATTCACACTCCAAATGGCTGCAATGGCCAGGGCTGGGCCAGGCTGAAACCAGAGGCCAGGAGCTTCATCCAGATTTCTCAAGTAGAGGTAGAGGTCCAAGTACTTGGGCCATCCCCCACTGCTTTCCCAAGCACATTAGCAGGGAGCTGGATTGGAAGTAGAACAGCCGGGACTTGAACCAGCGTTCACATGGACTTAACCTGCTGTGCCACCACTCGGGCTCCAAGGGTTTGTTCTCAATGCCACCGAGTCATTGTATTTTTATTAAAGCATCCTGAGTGCACCAAGGTACCCTCTGCTCAACACCCTTTACATCCTGAAACTCCCCCCGACCTTCCCCTCCACCCCTGCTGAGACTGAGTTCTACTTCCTCTCCCTGATCCCCCCAGATCCTATCCTTTCAGAGTCACAAACCTCAGGGTCAGAGGGAGTGTCCTTGTTCCGGTAGTCCAAGGTCAAGGTGCTCCATCCTCTGAGAATCCTAGCAGCTACTCATACTGCCTCCCCTCCCAGCCACTGTCATTTACCGACTGACCACTGCCAATCATCAACGAGGATCTTAACACCTGCTATACACACAGCCTCTCCACTCTGATCCTCTTGTTCTGGTTCAAGTTGTTTTTTTTTTTTTTTTTTTTTGACAGGCAGAGTGGACAGTGAGAGAGAGAGAGAGAGAAAGGTCTTCCTCTCACCATTGGTTCACCCTCCAATGGCCGCCGTGGCCAGCACGTTGCGGCTGGTGCATCGCGCTGATCAGAAGCCAGGAGCCAGGTGCTTTTCCTGGTCTCCCATGCGGGTGCAGGGCCCAAGCACTTGGGCCATCTTCCACTTCCTTCCCAGGCCATAGCAGAGAGCTGGCCTGGAAGAAGGGCAACCGGGACAGAATCCGGCGCCCTGACCGGGACTAGAACTTGGTGTGCCGGCACCACAAGGCGGAGGATTAGCCTATTGAGCCATGGTGCCGGCCGTCAAGTTACTCTTAAAGAACAGAATACTCTCATTTTAATGAAATCCAGTGTGTCAATTTCTTGCTTTTGTGCTTAATTAATGATAATTTGTGGCTTTTGTAGTTTTTACTCCAAGTTTTCAAAGATTATCTCCTTTATCTTTGTAGTTCTTTAATTTTTATTTGAAAGGCAGAGAGACAGATCATAAGAAATCTCCCATCTACTGAGTCACTTTCCAAATACCCACAACAGCCAGGGCTGGGCCAGCCTGAAGCCAGAAGCTGGAAAACTCAATCCAGGTCTCCCATGTAAGTAGCAGGGATCCAACTTGAGCTGCCAGCCGATGTCCTAAGGCATGCATTAGAAGGTAGCTGGAATGGAGAGCAGAGGGTGTTCCAAGCGCAGCAGGTTAACTGTGGCACCAAACACCTGCCCCATGCCCATATCTTTGGGATGGTTAATTCAAGGTGTCAGTTTGAATAAGTTAAGGCACACTCAGGTAGCTGGTAAAGCATTATTTCTGAGTTAAGACTGAGGGTGTTTCTGGGAGAAATTGACATTGGAATCAGTGGACTGGATTAGGAAAGTCATCCTCATCCAGTGTGAGGATGGGCAGGTGCCATTCAATGAGCTGAAGGCAGAGATAGACCTAAAACACAGAGGAAAGGATTCATTCTCTCATCTGGAGCTTCTCCTGACCTTGGACATGAGAACGTCAGGTTCTCTGGCCTTTGGACTCTGACACACCAGTGGCTCCCAAGTTGTCAGGCTTTTTGGACTGCAACTGAGCCACAAACTTCCCTCCTCTAATGTAGTGAGACAATTCCCATAAGAAGTTTCTTCTCATAGACAGATTGTCTGTCTAGCTAGCTCTCATCTATCTTTCTGTCAATAATTTATTTAGCATCTATCTTTCTGTCTGTCTATCTATCTATCTATCTA